ATAGAACTATAATTAAAATAAGTGGGCACTAGGCACTCTTTGTCAACTGCCAGGAAACATTTATCTAACCTGGCGTGAGGGGGAGCGGTTCAGAGCAATTTTTTTCAGAAACTGAGATACCTAAGCTGAGTCTTATCAGGGCAGAAAGGCCACCACACAGAAGGAACTGCATATGCCACAGTGTGGAGGTGACACACTGCTTAACAAGGAGCAGGCTCGAGCAAAGACTGCCCATCAGTGATAAGGGAACAGGCTGCCGAAGTAGAAAGTGCTGTGTTCTAATGGGCCCTGCAGCCACTGCCAAGAGGTCCGGCTTTTACCATTAGGGCAATGGGAAAAAGTTGAAAGTTATAAACAAAGGATTGTGGCCAGACTTTTGTTTTAGAGATTTTTCTCTAATAAAAGTGCAGAAAAGATTGAAAGCTGAGTCAGATAGATAAACTGAGGCTTTTTCAGATTAGAGGGTTTACAAATATTCCTCAAAAATCATAAACAAGGGGCTGGCCCAGTGGCGTAGTGGTTATATTCACACGCTCCACTTAGGTGGCCCAGGGTTCGCTGGCTCGGATCCTGGGCACGGACATGGCACTGCTCATCAAGCCACGTTGTGGTGGCATCCCACATAAAATAGAGAAAGATTGGCACAGATGTTAGCTCAAGACCAATCTTCCTCACACACACAAAAATAATAAACAAAAATAATATAAAAAGAGGAGAGATGTTAATGCAATAAATATAACAGAGTGTCTTTTATATATAAAGGGATCCGAAAATTCAAGAAAACTCTAACAATGCGAAAGAAAAATGGAGAAAAGATTTAAAATTCACAGGAAGAAAAGAAATGGTCAGTAAGAAAGAAAAATGTTTAAGCATTAATATTTTTAAAATAAAAATTTTAAAAATTACAAGTCACTGGGTTTACCCCATCAGACTGGGAAGTATGGCATGAGTAGACCATTTGACACTGCCTTTGGTGATGAAAAAACAAATCTTTCTGAAAGCAATTATACAACAGGTATCAAGAGTCACCGAAAATATTACATCATCAATCTAGGAATTCCACTCCTTTAAATTAATTCTAAGAAAATAACTATAAATGCAAAGATTTATAAACCAAAATGTTCAATGTAGAATAATTTATAATATAAAAAGGGGAAACAATCTAACTATTCAAAATAGCAGAGAGGCTAAATATAACATAGCATAGTCCTACAACGGACTGTTACATGATCCTTAAAAGTAAAAAGGAGAAAGCATTTGCTACATGGTATGAATGAGTGATACAAAATTGCTGTCACGGTATAATGCCAATAAGATCATTTGTGTGTGTGTCTGTGTTTGTGCAGGTGAATGGATACTAGTTAGAGAGAAAGTTCAACATAAACAAAAGACGGAAGGAATAAAAGGAAATGTATCAAATTGCTAACAATGGTTATTATCTTTCTGAGAAGTTTTCTGTATTTAAAAACAACTCATAGTACTTTAAGCTACTTTTATAAGAATACAGCAAAGAGAAGTTAGGAGAAAACCCAGAAATGATTAATATCACAGAAGCCAAACCAGAGAATTTCAATAAAACAGAATATTTACTTTAAAACTTCACACAGAGGCTGGTAGGAATGTGGAATTCATCATCCCCAGTGGTATGGATTGAAAGTAAAATGGATGTAAAATTGTTTCAGGCCCATTGCTGATGGCAGACTGGCACACAGCTCCCCTTCAGGATTTAATGCACGGGGTGAGCCTTGCTGCCTCGCAGAAAACAATCCTGAAACAGATGGGCCACTCTTCTGATTCAGCCAGGAGGAATGTCACATTTTCCTTCTGCATTAAGACACTGATACATGTCACCCTGTGTGTCATAGAAATACTAATTTCAGTGACTAGTTTTAAAAGAACTAAACGCTAGAGAGTCCCAAAGCACCACTCTCACTCTTCGAGGAAAAGGCGCACGCTACATATGACACAAACCTATTTTTTCCATCTTCTCACTTAATGAGCAATTCTGTTGTTTATCCCTGTTCACTCTGCTCAAGCAGAATCAGTCTGTCGAGCGTAGCATGCAGGAAGGAGTACCATTTAAAACTGTAGAATGGGCTACATTGCCTGATTTGGAAAAGGTTTTTGCATCTTGTAATTCACTTGTTGTATGAGTCAATCGAAATTCTAAACTGAATGATTAAGTGCTCAGATTCCTTTTATACAACACTTTTATACAAACTTTTTACAAAGGCATTCTCAGCTGCTCACATGGCTAACTTGTAAAAATCGGCCCGATGAAGACAAAACTCTGTAAAACATACCGATCATGTGAGTCTGCTTGCTCTACACGCCAGAATCGTCTCTGAAATATCACATAGGTTCAAGTGGCCCAGGTCAGCTTCCACTAGGTTGTGATACAGTAACACACAACATTAAAATCCCACGAATTCACAACAAGAAAGGTTCATTTCCTGTTCATGTTACACCAGGACTGGGGTCACCTCCAGGGCTGTTCCGTCTTCATTCTGGCCTTCAGGCTAAAGGAACAGCTATTTTCCAGAATGTGTCCTTCTCATGGCTGGGGGAAGAGCATTGGCAGAACCACCTGATGCTCCTTCTGCTTGCCCCTGCACCTGGTACTTTGCATGTATTTCATTGGCTAATACAAGTCTCATGGGCAAAGCTGATATAAATGAGACATGAGTGTAATCCTTCTACAAGACAGGGAATAATTGAGAACAACACTACAATCTACCACATCAAGTATCTATATAAAATATATATCACAATGCATGGATGGCTTCATTAGCAAAAGACTTGATATGTTCAGAATTGTCAAGCCAGCCCAAAAAGATCCTTCCTCCACTCAATCAGGAGGAAAGTTAGAGAAGGCAGATACAGATGCAAGCAGGTTCTTGAATGAGAGTCTCTAAACATTTTACTACACAATTAGGCTGAACAGACATTCAGAATACTGTAACATGGACTCAATATTGGTTTCCAGAGCATCTCCTTACCCCCACCTGCATCCACTCAACGCATCCGAGTAGACTAGTGGTTAACTCTCATGCCAAGATCTGTAGATTTTATCTGCTATCTCATTTTTCTCCTGTTCCATAGCTCCTTTCTTTATTTTAGGGTCCTTATTTTCTGTTCCTAATGAAGCACTCAGTCAAAATCCCTCTAAGTACAAAGTATGTCAAATTGCTTTGTATTTTCTTAAACAGAACCCTATTTCTTTCAATACACACCGCAAATTATTGGGTTTCAGCTTTCCTTGGTAAGCCAGAAATGGCCTTTTGTTCTGATTTGTTTTGCCCATCCATTCAGCTATTTCTCCAATAGGAGCCCCAAAGTTTACCCCTGTATTCTCTGACTCCAGCCTTCTGTGCCTGTGATGAGGTGAGGCACATCTCAAAGTTACCTTGGTGTGAAAATAAACTTCTCATTTGAAATCTAAGTTAAAATGTATTCCCCCATTGGAAAGGAATATCTAATTCACATCATTTCCTATGTTATATTTTTATACATGCTCTACCCACATCTCGTCTGTCCTCTCAACTCAAGTGATGTTCCTTTTGAATCATCTCCCACTCAATGTTGTGAAGGCCACTCTTGCTCACTTGATAATAATAAGCCAAGCTCTAATTTTGTGTATTTCAATGATGGCACATTTCTTGTAGATTGCCAGCTTTCCCCAACCCTGATACCTCCTTCGAAAGGATCTGCCTCTATTTGAGATTGCCTCTTGAACACAAAATACCTTAATTGTTATTTTTATTTTTATGTCAATGCTGACAGAGCCAGTAGAAGGCAAGGAGTCAAGGAACTCAGCTTTCTAGTGCTGGGAAACTCGATCTAAACTCTCATGTGAAGATCTAGGAAAATGTGATTTTACTTGCCATTGCCCTTTCATCTGATTATCATTATTTCTTGTAGCCGTTAATGATACTGACAAAGATATTGTTAATGAAAATTCTACGCGAGGTCACATATTCAATGTGCCTACACAGCCATTTCTATTACTATCAATTGCAAGTTACATTGTTGTGGCATCATTCACCAATGCAGTTTCTCAGAGATGCCAAGAGACTTCCTAGTCACCAAAGAAGTTTAATATTCATCTCAGAGGGTTCATCTTGAATCTCGAAAATACTTGGTCCTCCCAAAGATTCTTACTCTACTAGATTTGTGAGAGCTGGCCTAACTCTCTTCTCCAAACACTAGTGCCTAGACAATAGTGGCTCAATGGGAAGAGCTCCTCCCACATGTTTGGCCTTATTGACTCACTCCACAAAGGCAGTTCCAGACCAGAGCTGAAGATAACCATCTCTGACATCAAGTGTCATTTGACGACTGTGCTGCACGTCTCCACTGTCCTGTTCTGGATTTTGAGATAGTTTCCCAAAACCCATCCGAATTACATTCTTTGCCTGGTCCTTCACTTCTAGTTGGAACCATAAATCATAAATATGAAGTTGAGTTTTTATCAATCTACAGTCTCCTGCTCTGATTGGACATTGAGAAATAGCCCAGGCTGTACAACTTGATCAATTTATAACTTCTATCTGGCTTGGATATTTTCCTCTCAAACTTGACCTGCTTGTTTAGCTTCTAAACCTTGTTCTAATCCTCTAGTTTGGCTGGAGGCCTTAGATTTTTCATGTCAGTTTCCGGATCAGGGCACTGTCCAGAGATCCGGCTTAAGTCCTATTTCTGGGTCCCGGTGATCTCTTCCATCCCAGATCCAGTCACACTAGCGGGCATTTTGCTCTGAGTGACTCAGAATAAAGGAATAAATGGGTGACTACACCATTGGCCAGCATTGTCAAAATATGCTTCAGAGATATAGATCTCAGTGTGATGCGGTGCGTGCATGTGTGTGTGTGTGTGTGATTATAAAATATTCACTTGTTCACTAATTTGGGAGCTTTGATTCAGATTTTTAGGTTTAACAGCACTAAGTATTGTTCAGATTTTGATGCATGCAAATAAATTTCTTTGTCCATGACTTTTAGATGGCCCAGTCATCTATGCAGCATACTTAAAAATGGAGCACAGTGATGAGAATATTAAATTCTGGATGGAATGTGAAACCTATAAGAAAATCGCCTCACGGTGGAGCAGAATTTCTAGAGCAAGGAAGCTGTATAAGATTTACATCCAGCCAGAGTCCCCTAGAGAGGTAACTATGTGACAATGACAGCAAATGGAGATCAGGACATCCCTGGGAGGGCGCTGATATCTGCCATGCACACATGTGCGTCAAGCTCTTTACATCCAGTATCTCCTGTAATCTATAAAGTCAGGACTGTGAACCTTATTTTACAGAGAAGAAACCTGAGAATCTGGGAAGTTAACTCACTTGTTTTGTCACACAGCAGTTAAGTGGGAAAATTAGGATTCAAAGTTAGGCCTATCCAACCACAAAGCCTGTCCTTATTAAATTATTTTAATTCCCAGGAAAGTTTAAAAGAAAAAGAAGTCCTTGTAAAAAGAATTGGCTTTGCTAGAAGGAACTACAGACACCACAAAGAGGCATTTTGACACCCCGAGTGGTGTTGGGCAAAATCTGTATCACCACACTAGGGTTCACGCTCAGCTTAGTTCAAAACCAGCCAATTCGGCCAACAGTCACATTGGTGTCACTCACTGCCCGTCATTTGCAACTGTCTTAAGAAAATAAAGAGTCAAGAATGAAACAGACACACTGAGACTCCTCCTGGTGGAAAGAGAATGAGGAGGGAAAATCTCGTCCAGAGGATAAGGGTAGAGGATGGTAGGCGAGGTTCCTATCCCTCATGATAGTCCTCCATTCCTGACTTGTTCCTCAAAACTCCTTTTTGGAAAATACTTGGTTTATTGAAATAACCACTTCTCTCCCGTATTTCTCCACTTCTCTTCACTTTCTTCCCATTTCAGGGCATATTCAGTGAAATCAACATTCACGACTATTAAGGAAGATAAACTTAAAAATAGCACCAACTTCCCTTTTCCCTAAAAGAGACCCCCACCTGATAAACTTCCTTGTCTGTGCACTTTGCTAACAAACCACTTGCATCCTCCTAAGTAATCAGTGGTTTCGGAGATTCCCCTGGTCTCGGGCCTCATGCTTGCTTCAATCCGAGACGCGGAAGTTGATGTTGACTTTTAAAAAAGCAAAGAGTTTATCTTTTATGTCCTTTTTTAGACACCTATGAAACGGCAAAAGAAATTACCCTATTCCACTGAAAAGGAGAGGGGGGAATAAATTAAACTTTTCCATTGTATTCTCATCTTCAATTATGCCTACTTATGCTCTTAATGTAATTTTACTTTTCAGATTAACATTGACAGTCTGACAAGAGAAGCTATCATCAAGAATATTCAAGAACCCACTCGAACGTGTTTTGAAGAGGCTCAAAGAATAGTGTACATGCACATGGAAAGAGATTCCTATCCCAGGTTTCTGAAGTCAGAAATGTACCAGAAACTTTTGAAGACTATTCAGTCCAAGAACAATTCCTGAATATCCCTCGAAAGTTTCAATTCGACACGGCAGTGAAAGTACTGGCTTTGTTCTGTTAATTTAAAAAAACACAATATCGGAAATAGAGTAGAAATGAAGTAGAAGAAATCAAACTACAAATTGACTTCTAGTTCCCAAAGAGATCCCAAAAGGGATGGACTCTAAAATTCTTATACCATAAATAACACAATTTCTGGCATACCTAGGCAGCTCAGTTAATATATAAGGAAAAGGAAGATATTTCTCATGACACCAATATGATGAAGTTTTTACTGTAGTAGTCAACTAATGGATGTTTTCCTATTAATGAAATTTTTCTGTCCTAATGCACAGATTGGGTCTTTAAAACTTGTAGCTGTGTGAGTTGTCTATCTAGCATGAATATTTTCCATAGATAGATGAAGTGCTCTTGATAACGTTAATTAGTGAAGTTGGTACCCACGGTACAATCAATTGTATTATAACATGAGCAATACCAAAAAGATGTGTTCTTGAGATTTGATCTGTAAAATTCTCCTACTATTATGTTCATAACTGAACTTCTAGATTGCATATATCACCTACATGTGAAAAATTCCTGGTGATTCTAAGTTATTAAAAATGTATGAATTTCTTCATTTATTTCTATACTTACATGGCTATAAGGGTGGAAAATTTGGTTCCTATATTCTGAGGGGTTTTTTTCCTCACAATGTGAATTCATTGTGGTCCTGATAACCAGTAAATCCAAATATAAGCTAAAAACTTACAAATGTATAGTTTTTTTCAACGACACAGTAAAGGACTGTTTTTTATCTGTCCTGTCATAGCAGCTTCTTAGAATTTGTCAAAAAATTCCAGAGGAAAGAACTCATATCTATTTCACTTGCTGTGTTCAGCACATTGTATAGGATAAGTGTTCCATACAAATGGGTAAATATTCTATACTTTTGATGAAAAATAAATTACCTAAAATACTTAATATCATTTTTTACAAAGAATTAACTGTAGGAAAATTTTGTTCAAGATTTTTAGTTTTACTATAAGAAGTGTGTCTCAGGTCTCAAATTTGACTGAAATCACATTATTATTTTAAATTGCCTATATTGTATCACATGAAAATGAATATTGACTGGAATTGTTTTCATTCAGCAAAGGATTATTATAACAGAATAAATATTTGGGGGTTCATTTCTGAGAGAGAGAATTGGCTGCACAAGAGAATATTTTTATTGAAAAGTATCTCGTAGATTAATGTGGAGTCCAGTTAGTCGCACAAAGTGTTACCACAGTAGTCCAATTTCATGTAATTCACCAAATTTTACTTATTTTCTCTTAAAAATACCAATAGAAGAATACAGGTTGAACTCTTAGAAATCTGAACTTGATGATGGTCCTCAGCAACAATAAGCCAGAAAAAAATTGTTGCCCCATATGTTTCAAATAGTTATCTTATCTTACTTCAGCAGCAAATGAATATATTTATGGGCGAACAGAAAAAGTCATGGGGAGTTCAAGCTGTCTCAGGAAACCTGGGGCCCTTCTCATTTAAATTGTACTAAATCAGCCAAACACTGAGAGAACTCACCAGTGGAAGCAGAATAAGCCGCATTCTTCATTATTTATTTCTCTCTGTATTCCAATGCAGGCTAAGTCTAAAGTTTTCAGTTTTGCTTATCTATTGATTTTACCTCCCAAATTCAGTCCCTCTGCTCAGCTCTCAGAGCGCTTTGACCATCACGTTGGGTCAACAAGGGGCCACACAGTAACATGAAACAAAAAGCTTTGAGCGGAGGTACAAAGCCATTGGAGTCGTGCCTGCTCATTCACTTGGTGTGGTTTCACCTTGGGTACCAGTTTCCTCAACTATAAAACAAAGAGGTGGGGGCCGGCCTGGGGGCATGGTAGTTAAGCTCGCATGCTCCCCTTCAGTGGCTTGGGTTCATGGGTTTGGATCCCAGGTGTGGACCTACACCACTCATCAGCCATGCTGTGGCAGCAACCCACATACAAAATAGAGGAAGACTGGCACAGATGTTAGCTCGGGGCCAATCTTCCTCAGCAAAAAATAAACAAATAAATAAATAAAGAGGTGGGACCAGCTGATTGAATGAGCCACATGCAGTGTGTTTTGTTACATCCCATTACTAATGGATTCATCATTTTCTTCAAGCTTGGTCTCATTTTGAAGAGTTATTCCTCCAAAAATTGATTTTTTTCATGAGGAACTGGCTAATGAGCTACCTATATATCTATTTTGTGTTTGATGTTGGTTAAGGGAGTTCTGAAATTTTTTACTTAGGAACAGAGAATTTAAACTTAAAGTGCTATCTGTTCAAGAATTCTACACGGAAGTATATGTTTCATGTAACTGACAGTTAAAATACTTTTCAGATCATTTAAAGTTAATATTCTAAATCTTGTTCATTTTTCTTGGGACTTTTTAAAATTTATAAATATTTTATTTTATTAAAACAATCCAAAAATTGATCATGCTTATCAAATCAAGGATATGTCCATATTAATACATTTTTTACATGATTTCTGTTTTATCCTTAGAAACTTGAGATTAACAAGTTAAAAACATATTGTTAGATTTCTGATATTAGAAAATGGATATATTTATGGATTTTTTTCTATTTTGAGCTATACATTTTCAAACTCCGGAGATGTATAAGATAAGCCTTCATTGTCTCTGCATAAAAATAAAATCTTATCTTCTCCAAAAGAAGACAGTGACAGAGATTTGTACAAATCAGATTCAAGCATCTTGGCAGAGATGAAAACTTTGCTATTTATAATTCATCAGTCACACCATAGTTTCCTCAACTGCAAAGGGCTTTTTACCAATTTTGGAAGAATGATTACAAAAAAGACATACATGAAGCTTTCTTCAAAGACATAATATGGTGTGATTTGAAGAAAATTCTTAAGATTCCCATTGCCCAAAAATATCTTCCTCATCCTGAGGACCTGAAATTCCCATCACTGGTCACAGAAGATGAAAAATGGCAGTGAAATTCAAGTTTTAAGTGAGGAGTAAAACACTTTACCTGTTGCCTAGCAGAAAGCAAAACATGGGAAGATAGAATGCAGGCATGTGGAGTGATACAGGAAAATGGGCTGGGAGAACAAAGATATTAGGGGATCTAGAGGTCACCAGATATCAAATAGGATGTGGGAACCTGGGGAACAAATGAAAAGGGATTTGTTATTAAAATCTCCCTACGTTGTTTACAGAAAACCAAAGGGGGGGCTTAGTTCGAAAAGCAAGTATTCTATGCATAAAGATACATGCACCCCTATGTTCATAGCAGCATCATTCACAATAGCCAAGACTTGGAAGCAACCTAGGTGCCCAACAAGGGACAAACGGATAAAGAAGATGTGGTATATATACACAATGGAGTACTACTCAGCCATAAGAAATGAGGAAATCTAGCCATTGGTGACAACATGGATAGACCTTGAGGGTATTATGCTGAGTGAAATAAATCAGAGGGAGAAAGTCAAATACTGTATGATCTCAGTCATAAGTAGAAGATAAAAACAACAACAAATAAACACATAGAGACAGAGATTGGATTGGTGGTTACCAGAGAGGAATCGGGGAGGGAGGAGGGCGAAAGGGGTGATTAGGCACATGTGTGTGGTGATGGAGTGTACTTAGTCTCTGGGTGGTGAACATGATGTCATCCACACAGGAATCGAAATATAATGATACACACCTGAAATTTATGTAATGTTATAAACCAACGTTTCTGCAAAAAAAAAAAAAAGAAGAAGAAAAAAGTGGGTATTCTACATCACTAATTAAACATTTTAGTAGAAAAAAATAAATGTAGCATTCTTATAAAAATAAAAGAACAAGTACTAAATCCCTCAACAAACAGTATTCATAGAGGCATTCTTTAATACAAATCTACCCAGCTCCTACTGAGTACAGATTCTGTACAGACAAAGATGAATTAGGTGAGGTTTCTACTCTCGGGGATGTGTGAGCTGATAGTTAAAATACAAAATAATAATGGCCACATGTGTAGAGAGGGCTGTGGAATCCCCGCAGAAGCATCTACCTCTACTCAGAGAAATCTGGAAAGAGTAGAAGAGGTTATGTCTAAAATGAGTCTTGAAGAATGATGAAGAGATCACTGAGAGGAGAGGGGAAGGCGGTGTGGGTTGAAACAAGATCTGAAGAAGGGAAATCTTGTGACAAATAAGAAGAATTTGAAAAATGGTAGATGCTTTGGCTTCAATCCTTAGCAGCTGTGACAATTGAGAAACTGCTTAATCTCTCTGAAACATCGTTTTCATCATCTGTACAATGATAACAACAACACTAATAACATCTACCTAATAGGCTTTCATATATTTAAGTGAATATAAAGTCCTGATGCCACGTTCAATAAGATTTAACCATATTATTAGTTACCATAAAAAGTCCAAATGAAAGATAAGGATAGCCTGAGCTAGGCAAATGAAGAAAAGAGACATTTCCGAGGGAGAAATGGTGAACTGATCAGATATAGGAAATGAGGGAGGGATCGAGGCTGACCCCCAAGTTTCTAATCTGAGCATCAGGGTAAGTAGAGATGCCATCAACTGAGAAAAGCAGCTCAGGAGGATGAGCAGCATTGAGAGACACATTGAGTGTGAGGTGTCTACACAGCATAAGTGGGACCCTAGAGAGAGGTAAAGAGCGGAAATGCAGATCTGGAAACTGTTAGCATGGCTGAGTCACTGACCAGAGGAGATCTTATAGGGCAACTGTGCAGAACAGAGAGTAGAAACCCAAAGGACCCAAACAAAACTTAGGGAACGGGGCCGGCTCAGTGGCATAGTGGTTAAGTTTGTGCCCTCCAATTTGGCAGCCTGGGGTTCACAGGTTCAGATCCTGTGCACGGACCTAGCCCCACTCATCAAGCCACACTGTGGGGGCACCCCACATAAAATAGAGGAAGATTGGCACAGATGTTAGCTCAGGGCTATCTTCCTCTAAAAAAAAGAGGGAACAAAATAACATATTAACAACTCAAATTCTCATCGGAATCTCATCCCAATATTTATAGCAATGATAACGATCATTTATTGAGTTTTACTATGTCGCTGATATTGTGCTAAGTGTTTGGATACAGGATTCATTCATTCAACAATTATTGAGCACCTACTGTATGACAACACAGTTATCAGAGATGGGCATTCACCAACAAACCGAGCAGAAAACGTGTCTGCCATCACGGAGCTTATGTGCATTTATGATAAAATAGGAATCGAATAAAGAAATCACATCAGATGGTGATGAGCGCGATAAAGAAAGAAAAACATCAAATGATAGAAGGCGGAATGGGTGGAGTGGGGATGCAATGGAGAAAGATGTCAGAGGATTCTCTCTACACAGCTCATACGCTCCTCCCTCCTGACACCCATAATCAAGAAGGAATCTAGGCTTTGAGAAGTTAAAACAATCCTTCAGTGCCTCTTGGCTAGAACCAGGACTCTTCTTTACTCTGATATCTTTTTTTAAAAGCCAGCCATTAGTTTTTTGTTGTTTTATTTTGTTTTGAGGAAGATGGGCCCTGAGCTAAGATCTGTTGCCAATCTTCCTCTTTTTTTTCTCCCCAAAGCCCCAGTACATAGCTATATATCCTAGTTTAGGTCATTCTGGTTCTTCTATGGGGGATGCCGCCACCACATGGCTTGATGAACAGTGCGTATGTCCGCACCCAGGATCCGAACCGGGGAACTCCAGGCCGCCAAAGTGGAGCACGCGAACTTAACCACTCAGTCATGGGGCTGGCCTAACTCTGATATCTTAACCATCCTAAGTACAGCCTCCCACAAACACAATACATGGAAGTAAATGTACAAAGATCTAATATATAAAAATACGTATTTAAATTTAAAATGCCATCACCTATACAGACCATTTTAATACAGAAGTTCACTATTATCGCTAGCTCTAGTTACTACTGCTAATAAACTCATCCAAAGTGGTTTAAAACATCATTGATGCTTAGGTCTCTGCTAGAAGGAAGAATTACCAAGCAACTGATGTAATGATGCCCAAGATCCAGTAATAAGATGAAACACCTTCTTTTTACTAGGCAAATATGTTGCTTATGCCAGGAATTTCAGCACACATACTGGGTACTCAGTATATACTTACGGATGTGAGAAGAGGCGAGGGAAGGAGAGCCAAGCTCCCAGCCTGTGCAGAGGTTGGCGGTCATGGTCCTCACCAAGCAGCATCCCAGGGCTGTCACCATTGTCCTGGATGAAAAAGGAGCAGAGCAGATCCAGGCTCAGGGCCATGGCCATGGTCAGTCAGTACCAACTGGCTGCATCTTCAGTTTGAGATCCTAGTGCCACAGGTGTGGGCAAATAGGAAGAAATGTCATTAGAAGAAGCAAAAGCCAAAGAAAGACAGTACTGAAAGAATCCAGAATGTACGGCCAAATAATTCAGAGAAAATACAGTAGGAAATCAGAAGAACATTTTATTGAATTTTAACAAGCAGCCTCTTTCTCATCTGAGGTGCTTTTTTTCTGCCAGTCATCCATGCAGCAGCATTTGCCACTTTCTGAAGACACCACCCGGCATCTGGCACCTACTGCTGTCACCTGGCCCTACAGTATGGCTTAAAATGAAGAACCAGTCACTGAGGGCTTAGGTCATTTACCTAAATATAAACAAGAATGTTTATAAAAAGGATTTGACCAGTGGCATTTTCAAATTATAACAGGATTTGACCAGTGGCATTTTCAAATTATAACAGTTTATGGGCAGAATGCCTTCAAAAGAAATAATTCATTTTCAAAAATCAATAAAGTCTTCAGAGTTCACGAAGAATATTGACATACATTATTTTACCTGAGCCTCCAAACAATCTTACC